CGTATAGATTTAAACTTTCACCATTTCAGGGTTTATAGGACTGTAACATAAGAAAAAAAAAAAAACTGGGAAGTGGGTTCTTTTTTTTTTTTTTTTTTTTTTTTTTTTTTTATAGTTTTGAATTTAACGGTAAGTATTATGTAACATTCCAATGTATGGTTTCATCTGTTTTTTAAAACGAATTAATTCATTGTGCTTAAACAAAGGAAATTCTCTATAAGATGTTTCTATTTTTAGGATCATGGGTTTTATCCTTACTTACACAGACTTCAGTATGTAATGATTTGTTTTTTATTTTGCTTTGGTTTTTTGGGTGGGGGTTATACAACAGTCGATTCAAAATTACTTTTATGATGCGAAATAATTAGAGATGTCTGGAAACAACGTTTTAATTTCTGATACAAAACTGATACTGCAGCTTTGAGAATTTTGTTGAACCAATAACATTATTAGCATGAATTATACCGGATTTTAGTACTTCTTTTATATTTCAGAATGTTAGAAAAGGCTTGATCAGTTAAATGATAATAATAATCAATGATAATAAAGTCTAAGTCTATCAGTATTACTAAAATAAGGAATAAAAGTCAACAACAAAAGGAGTGAAAACATGCCGTTTACATTCTTTTAACTTTTAGATGAGATGAGTTTTTAATCAGTATTAAAATAGAGATTTTAAATGCCGGCCAATAAAATCCGATTTGATATTTTTTTCTAATATCAAACCGATAATAACATCTGATCAGGACACCCCTACAAATAATACTCCAGAGGATGCACATTACAGCAAAAAGGAACGACTCTCTTTTAACATGAAGAAGCATCCAGCAGAACCCAGCTGGCTGTGTATATCAAAGAAAAGATGATGATAAAAATGTTCTGCTCTCTTCTTGGGCAGAGTAGACAGCTGGAGCATTTGGCTGGACTTCATTTGATCCTTGTTGAAAATCAATACAGTTATTTTCTAATTCAACAAATTTGCAGCTGTCTTTGTCCTTGTATGTAGACAGATTTAGTTACTATGCTGTGGTAAGTTGTTTGGCTTTGCTATTATTTATTCAGTTATTAGCAAAACACAATATAGAATTTCTTTAGCTTTACAAAAAAAAAAAAAAAAAATCTGTCTGACATGCATTACACATAAAAAAAGAATAGAATTACAAAAAAAGATCAAATCTGTTAATCTTAGAATAAGGGTTGGTTTCTGAATATAGCCTCATTGTGGTCTGTGATGTGAAATTAATCTAATTAACACAAATCATAAGCTATAGACGATGTATGTGCTGGATTAGAAATTCAGGAAAGTTGGAATTCCTTCCTGTTATGTTGTTTTTGTTTCGCAAACTTTGCCACTAATAGTCATTGAAAGGGAAAGTCAATGCATAGAAAGAGAAAAAACAAACATCTGCCTAAAAGTTTGATATAAGACCTCAGCTGTTTTATTTGATTTAGAGAAAACAAGAAGTCATTTTCTTGAGAGCATCTAAATATACAAGTACACTAAGCCAGAGTTTACAACCAATATGTTTTTCTTTTTCTCTTGCTCTGCTAATATGCATTATATCTATGTATTTATTTATACACTAAGTCTAAGTTAGGTTGCTATTTGCTTTATTTCTTTTTTTATTTGTACAGAAAGATTAATCAGATTTTCTCCCTGTTGTTTTCAATGCTGTAGTTTTTTTTTTTTTTTTGTTTTTTTGTTAAGCTGTTAGTTAAAGTTTTCTTAAAAAACAATAATAAAATAGCATCTACAGGTGAGGATACTCTGGCAGCAGCTTTGTTTTGAAGTTTAAGAAGGAGAAGAGCTCCAATCCTCTACTGAATGTTGGGATCTGTTTATGTAATTGTTTCTATTAAAACAGTGCTCCATTAGTGGCAGAAATTTGTACAGATAAAGTATTTAGTCTTGGTAGTTGCCTGTTTTTTTTGTTGGCTGTTTACTGGAAAGATCTTTCGTGATTAGTTGTGAAGCAATGCAGTGGATTACCGGTAGTTTAGTGGAGGGAAATGATTTGAGATGGTTTGTGAGAATGAATCTTTTAAAGGAGCATATAATGTTATTGTTGAAATAGAGACAAAGAAGAGGAAATGCATTTGACATGCATGTTTTTAGGAATTATCTATTGGTAATCTGACAAACCTGCAGTTTGATCTTCCTTTCGTATCATAGAGAAACTCCTAACCCTTTGTTTTTTTATCAGTGTTATTAGAAAACAATCACACATGGCTGCAGTGACTTATTATTAGCCCATATCTACTGCAGCTTTAGGGTCAGCTTTCCAGAAGACCTTGTGTTGCCATTGATTTTATCCATTAGCTGCAGATGATGTCTCTCCTGTTTTTAGGTTGTCATGTGACCTTGGCTTGATAACATATTTAAAACCTGCCTCCAGAGGGGGAACAGTGTGTTGTGTAGTGAAACACTGAGTACCAGTGGTCATAAGTGTTTTTTTTCTTTTATAAGATTAGAATAAAGCCTGACATTTCAAGTTGGTTTAGCTCAAAGTATTTGTGTTCTCCCGCAGGGCAGGATGCAGTCTTCAAACCACCGACTACGTGATATGGAGCAGCACCACCCGCTGCTTTCAGCTGGTGCAGATGTAGAGACAGGCATCCTGGGAGCCGGCGTGATGGTTGGAGGTCCAAACTCCGGCCACACAGTAGGGAACCGCACTGTCTGGTTCATTCAGGACAGCTGCGGGATGGTGTGCGCCACCATGACCTGGTTCCTGGTCCTATACGCTGAGTTTGTGGTGAATTTCGTCATGCTTCTGCCTGCCAAGAACTTCTGGTACTCGCTGCTGAACGGGGCCACCTTCAACTCCCTGGCTGTACTTGCACTGGCATCACACCTGCGCACCATGTTGACCGACCCAGTAAGGACTTTCAGCATCATAACAATCGCTGAAACATTTAAACACAGAAGCTAAGTGGAGTTAAAGAGGGGCTTCACTGAAATATTAAAATCGGAAAATACTCTACCTGTAAAGAGAGTCATATATGATAAATGTGGTTTTTGGAGTCAGAAAAGTGTGCAAGTTAGAGAACAACCAGACAGCACAGGCACAGTGTTATTGGAGCCGCTATCCAGTGTAATGTGGGGCACTGAGGAGCAGTTTTTTTTTTTATATATAATATTCTGTATGAAGACTCTGCAGAGAAGCTTGTTAAACTAAGTCTAAATGTCCGACTTAGAATTTAATTTAACATCAAGGTTTACATTTTTACCCTGGCTGATAAATTATGGCTGATCCGTGTCATCTGGTCAAGGTTGTTTACTTTTCTGTTTCAAATGAGGCATTTAACTTGTTTTCAGCTAACACTGTTACTTAAACTACATTCAATTCATTACTGACTGTAGGCTGCTTTACTATATACAGTGTTTGGTTGCTAGTAGAACATATTCATTTCCTCTTAAGTTTGACCTCCACTTTGTCACTGGATTCAGTTGGTCGGTTCATGCTTTAGCTGATGACTTGCTAGTTAATCTTGCTCGAATAAAACAAAAGCCCCTTAGATGCTTTAGTGGTAGGTAAAACGTGGCTTAGCAAGTTTCCATGTAAACCTGTGTAAAATCCATTTATTTTACCAGTTTCAAAGCACTTTAAAATGGAACGTTAAAAGAGTAAAAAAACTGCTGGTACAATAAGAAAAAATAAAAATGTAACTGATAGCCGGAGAGGAATTAAGAAATAAACAAGTGAATCTATCCAAACAAAGATTCAAGTATTTTCTGGTTAACGTTGATGTCTTGTACTGGGACTACAGTGCTAAAGAGACATAATTTTGAATTTACCAAAAGTAAAGGGGCACAATAGCTAACGATTTTGGAGTAGAAAATGTCCCATGACTTAATGGGTTGGAAATCTTACAAACATTTTTATTTCATTTGCTTACTATTCAGAGGACCAATTTCTCACCAGTTATATTTATAAGCACATATGAACTAAACTGAATATAAAAATAAAATCATGATAAAGCAAAAGGCAAAACACATTATAATATAAGGAAAAAAATCAATGGAAAAACAAAGGCTGCCCTAATGGTCGTGCTCTGTGAAATTAAAAGGTTGTTAAATGATGTTTATGTAAAATAATTTAAAGACCAGCAGTAAAAGGGCAGACTGTTCCAGAACCCCGGATCTGGTCACAAGCTTATGATCTTACTGGTAATATGTGACTGTTGAAGCTTTTCTGAGATAACGAGGTGACATTTAAAACCTGAAGCAAAGCTCAAAAAACTATTCTACACAAAAAACAAAAAAAACTGGGTGAGACATTCATGTGGGCTTGTGGTGGTTAGAAGAGGGTTGGCCGAGTTTTACAACGGCTGTCGATTGCTTTGAGGTGGACGGGGTAATTCAAGAAGGATGTTACAGACTTCCCTACTGACCTGCTTCCCCTGAAGACAAATCCAGCAGTTATTAGCATGGGATGAAAGAAAAATCAGAGGACTGAGGATGGATCTTTGTGGTACTCCCCATGGGAGTTCAGCATAGGTGGACATGCAATCATTAAAGCTAAAACTGAAACGTCCAAGAGGCTGGGAAGACAATGGATCCTACTTTGTGTCTATTTAACCTTTTTTGCAAATTTAAATTACTTTAAGTAGTGAATTAAGTTAGTCTAAGTGAAACTGAACACGACCCCTTCAATCTTAATGCATGATTTATCTCTATGGATATGTGTAACTATATATTTTTTCCACAATTTAGGGTGCAGTTCCTAAGGGCAATGCTACCAAGGAGTACATGGAGAGTTTACAGCTTAAGCCTGGTGAAGTCATCTACAAGTGCCCAAAGTGTTGCAGCATCAAACCTGAAAGAGCACACCACTGCAGGTCAGCCCGACAGCACATGGAAACCTTTCTCTTCTGTTTGGATGTTTTTAACAAAAGCAAAGAACATCACTTTTATATGAAATGAATCGGAAGTGCAACTGTTTGGTTGAGAGTTGAAAAGACAGTGAACTTGAAATAAGGTTCGACTCCATCACTTGGTTTCTGTGCTTGTGTCTCAATAAACAGATAAGTTTAAAAAGACATTTAATATCATCTTATGTTGAAATTGTAGTTGTTTAACCCAGATAAACACAACAACAAAAAAATACAATAAAATGTCCAAGCTTATATTCTTTTAAACTCAAAATATAGTAAAATCAAAGTATGCAGATGTTCCAAAGCTCTGTGTTAATAATTAATTTGTGTCTTCTTCATTCAGTATTTGTAAACGATGCATTCGGAAGATGGATCATCACTGTCCCTGGGTCAATAACTGTGTGGGAGAGAAGAATCAGAGATTCTTTGTTCTTTTTACTGTAAGTATACCAATGTGGGGAAACTGGCAAGAGGCTGTGGCAGAAATGAGCAGATCTTTCATCAGAAACAGGTCTACATTAAATAGGCTCTCAGTGCTACATCTGGGACTCCCTTGATAAGATCAGCACTTTTTATGTCTGAATTTGCTGACTGGATTGTTCTGAAGACATAAAATTAAAGCTGCCTTCTATGGCTGCCATTAAAATCTAGCACACGCCTTTTTTAACACTTTGATTTACAGAAAAGGGAGCTTTAAAAGCTAGTTCAGATTTAGATCTCATTACAGTAAAAAAACTGCATACATTAAGATAAAAAAAAAAAAAAACACAGCACCATTAGTGGAGCCAAGCTTAAAGGATGAACCTGTTTTATGATCAAATCTTTTGTTTTGTATTATTTTCTCCACAGATGTACATAGCATTGATTTCAGCCCATGCTCTGGGCCTGAGTGGAATGCATTTCTTCACATGTATTAAGGTGCAGTGGAACGGTAAGACCTTGCAGAATGTTTTTTTTTTTTATATAAAGTTGCCTTAAGAAACAAACACAACAACAAAAAAGTTCAGAATTTAAAGGAACATTTTAAATTTAGAATTGAAAGTCTTATTATAAAATCCACTTTTATTTCAGAATTGATTGGAAATGTTCATCCCAATCATAGAAGACTGTCGTTGTTGATTTTGTTTTGCAGAAATTAAAACGAATAAAAGTTTTGGTTGAGATTTATCGTTGGCTGGATAAAAAGAAAATGTTTTCTCGCAGCTGTTGTTTATAGATGGTCTCTACAGCTGACAGGACTGCTGCAGGGGTTCTGACATTAGATTATCGATTCCCATTGCTTTAGTGGACTAAAACTGAAAACAATGGCTTATAACTTTTTTTCCCCCATAATTGACATCCATTTTTCAAGTTTTAGTTAACTTTACTGTGAAAACCTTTGATTTGGTTTCTTTTCTCACCCTGTTTAGAGTGCAGTGACTTCTCACCAGGGGTGTCTGTTCTGCTGCTGATCTTCCTCTGTCTTGAGGCCATCCTCTTCCTAACTTTTACGGCCGTGATGTTTGGCACACAGATTCACTCTATCTGCAACGATGAGACGGTTAGTAGCCGTTTTAACCTCCTCAGCTTTTTTAGCTTTAGGTTCAGCTCTATCATTTCTAACCTTAAAGATGAAAGGCCAAAGAGGCAATTAATAAATTTTGAATATATGCAAAAATATTAGACTATCAAGAACTATGAATAAAACTTGATGAATGGTACTTATTCAGATCTTTATAAATGTCCCAATGGGAAATTAATTAACAATATATTTCTTCTTTGCAATAGCCATTTGGTCTTAAAACTAGAGAAGCCTCAACACTGAGTTGCTGCACACACACACACACATGTTTGTGTGTAAAGAAATCAGATTGATTAGGAATTTAGGTACGAGAGTCAAGTTATGGAGGTCAGAATGACTGATTTCAGATTGTTTTAAGATTAGTTTTTAGTTGGACCGAATAGAAGAGAATAGAATAGAAAATCCCTTTATTGTCCCCCTATGAGGAAATTCTGGTGTTTACAGCAGCAAAAATATTATACAAAAAAAAGGGTCACACAAATGTGGACCTTAGAAAAGTGTATAAGAATAACGTAATAGTGAAGAGTTAAAATAGAATAATGTACTGTAAAGTGTTTTAACGATGTAAAACAGTTCACATGGAGAATAAATAACCAATATACAGCTATGGACATTTTTATAGTAATGGATATTTGAAAATATCAGCAACATCAGATATGTGCAAAATAACAGCTCAGAATAAAAACAAACCTTACAGCAGTAATATCATGGGTTCTGATCATTAAAGGAGTGAAAGGCCAAGTTGTTATTCTTTTTTTTTTTTTAAATAAGTTACACAGACTAATAAATGGACAACGACATGATGAGTAGGTGAGGTTATCTTGTTATTGCTGCAACTTTGTCAGGAAAGGAAAGAGAGTTCTCTGAACAAAAGGTGAATAAAAACCCACCTGTTGAGATCATTTCTTGAATTAAGTTTCTTTGAACTGATTTGAATCTTTTTCAGGAGATTGAGCGTCTCAAAAACGAGAAGCCAACATGGGAGCGTCACATGAGATGGGATGGAATGAAATCTGTCTTTGGGGGTCCGCCGTCACTTCTGTGGTGCAACCCATTCACAGGCCTCCATCTGCGCCGTCTGTTGGCGGGGACCCAGGGTCGCCGTGGCGGCTCAGAGTTTTCCGTCTGACGGTCTGGCCAGACAGATTTCTTATCGGTCCCCCCTGTGAGGACTACGGTGGACCTTCAATTCCTCAGCCTGCCCTTTGAAGGGAACGATACACAGGCTGCTGCAGCGGGACCACGAACATCACAGCTGGCTGTATAACACTCAACACTGTGTTAATTTGCACTTGTGTTCTCATAATTGGGCTGTTTTTTCTTGAGCAGCATTTCGATTTGCTTGTGTGAATTTTTTATCTCACGTACTACAGCAGTCAAGTCAGGTCTGTATCCAGGAACCATCCAAACGAGTGTTGGAGATGCACTTGTGTTTCTACAGCATATCATTTATCAACTCTGCAGTCGGGGAAAAGGATCACAAGTGGGAGAAATGCTCAGTACTCATCTGGATCCAGACATGGAAATCCCAGTTCAGGATATGCACTACTTCCTTTATAACAGCCATGTGTGTGCAGAGCACAATAACTTTGAACTATGTGCTCAGACATGCATGAACAACAGACACATCTGCCAGCCTGGAAGTGGCAGCCTTTTAAAGACACCGGCCATTGTAAACACAAGCCTTATTCTTAGACAAGAGGACCAAATGGCTTTTCTCATCAGTTCGTCCTCTTCTTGTGTTTTTTTTTTTTTTTTTTAGTCTTTGATATTTTTGTTGTTACGTGAACCTGTAAAGATATTCTTCTATTTTTAAGTGACTGCTGAAGCCTTATCACCAAGACCACTCCTCAACAGCTATCCTACGTGCTCATTTGGATAAGGAAGTCATTCTCCGTGTCCATAGCTTTGCCATTCATCCCTGCTTACATGCTGCCTAACATCTTAGGAGCCTTTCTGAAACGATAGATTACTGATACGTCTCCCTAATTCAGGCTGTAGATTGAATGTAACTTTTAATGGTTTTCTATTTGTGTTTATCTTCATGCTGTTAGATGGAGGAATAGATCCAGAAACATGGAGAGATTGCATTCAAACACTGAAACCTCACAAGCTGCTCAGAGCCAGAATAGACATGATCAGTTTGCATGCTGCTAAGCAACTATGTGGTGCACCCTCTTGTTAAAGAAGACTGCACCATAGTACATCACTGGACTACAGAGCAACGCTTTTTTTCTCTTTGTAAAGTTGGTACAGACAGGAAGTCGTTTAATTATAAAAGCATTAAGTCTGAACTGTGTTTGGGGGAATTGCCTTTTTTCCCCCCCCTCTCCATAGGTTTAACCCCAGCAATATCTGCCAGCAGGGCAGGAAGTGATCATGTTCAGGTGTTGCATCAGAGCACTTAGGCTGTTAAAGTGATCCATTATATTTATGACGCTCACCTTAACAGAAGTGATATGCCAGTAAGCACTTGAAACGGTTGCGTCTTGAATATAAGTTAGGGTTTAGTCTAAGAGGCTGAAAGTGCTTAAATGAAACCTTTTCAGTCTGATATTCCCAGCTAAACGATTTAGTGCTATTTGTTCTCATCTGTGGTGATCAAGAGAAATATCTTCGCTGTTTACACTATTGATTAAAATCTCAAAGAATATTGTGTATTTCTATGTTTTTTAATAGGAAATTGCTGTCAAAAGAATGTAAGATTCATCTACTTTTGGAGCAGGGGACAAAGCACTGATCGTATAACAATATTGGGGGTGGGGGTGGGGGGGTATCGTAATGCTGGCCTCATTTATCCAGTTTTGTAGCTGCTCTGTATTAAATTTATCAAATTTGGCATACGGGTTTACATTTAGAATTGTTGAAGACAAAAATTAAATGCTGTTGACATATATAGCTGAAGGACAGATTGATAAGATCTGAACAGCAATCAGAAAATCTGCTGTATTTGACCAATGCATAAATCGGTTACTAAGCAACACAATAGTTGTTTATGAAATACATCCAGATGCAAAAAAAAAAAAAAAAAAAAAAGGTATAATGTGACTCATTAACACACAGTATTAATTAAAATAGAAGAAAGGACTTCCTCTGTGATGATTTTCTTTTGAAAGCGTTTGGTTGATTTTCGTGGATGAGAAGCTTGCTGGACTCGATGCACATTTATTTGTACAACGTAATTCCCTCAAAGCTGGTTTTCCATATGAATCTGCAGTTTAAACTGAAACTTGAAAGAAAAGGCTTTGTTTGTGATGTACAGTAACAGGATGGAGGTTTTAATACATATTTATCATTAATTCCGTTTATCGGACATTGTTTTTGTTTTTTTTCTCCAGGGTGGGGTGGGGTGGGGGGGTTCTTTAAGAACAAAATTCCCTGAGCTTTATAAATAAAGTATAAAGTTAACTATTAATGATATATAAACTGAATGTTGAGATTTGTTTTTATTTAAACTGTGTCAAATTTTTGTCACATCTGTAATGTCTTTTCCATAATAAAGCTGAATAACTTAATTATTATTAATGACTGTTTTTTTTATTTTTTTTTATTGGTTTATTTCTTACCTGAAAACACAGTAGAGGTACAATATGGTGCATCAGATATGATTGATATTGATTTTGAGTCCTTTTAATGACACTTTTGACATTTGAAATAGATATCTTAAAAGTACTTCATTGAGCTTTATATCACATTAAGCCCTAATTAGTGACTCTCCATTGCTTTAATATTCTGAAACTAGCCACAAAACATTTAATCTTTTACCTGCAAAAAACTCTACTGTGGTCTCTTATTTGTAAGCATAACTTGCTATGTCTTACATCTGGAAAAAATATATATATTTTGTACAGAAATGAGTCTGTTCATACAGATGTGGTTTAACATTTGCATTACTTCTTGTCATCTTTTCATCAGTAAAGGACTCTTACGCAGAATCTCTAAATAAGCACCATATTTTGATTACTGAAAGAGAACATAGTATTGTATTTGATGCTATCCCATCTGGTTTCTTGGTGTCATTAAGAGAAGTTGACCGTCCTTTCCAGTTTAAGAAATCTCTGGCAAACTCAGTTCCTAAGTATCTAGAAGGCATCAATATCAGAATTAATTCTTAATTTCAATTAAATATTGTCTCAGTCTTTTTGTCCTGTTGGAACATTTTTGTGCAAAATCTTCATTGGGTAAAAATCTGGTATCTTTGACAAAAAAGTTTGCTCACTAATAAAGTACGTTAGATTAAAACCATGGATGTTTCTCTATATGATCTGCTTTGATTCTTACAGAAATTTACTGAAAGGCATCAGTAGATATTGCTTGCTCTTTCTCTAAACTTTACCCAGACAGAATTATTCATCTTTTTTTCATTGGTTACAAAATGTCTTATTATACATTACTGCTCTGATCTCTACTAATATTAAACCTAATTTTGTTGATTTTGTTTATGTTTTGAAGATGTTTTACTTAGCCTTACATACGTCAATCATAGAGATTTCCATGTTTTATTCTCTATTTGATTGTGTTTTTGGAAAAAGGTTCATGTGCACAAAAATAAAACAATGACATAGAAACCACTTCTTAACCTCTTTGTTAAAGGCTTCAAACTTGCAGTGTAAAGGTTATAAAGACTTAAAATTCTGTTAATGCATTCAAACATTTTAAATTACATTCATGTGGGTCATTTAAAAAAAAAATCCTTAGTTTTGTTATTTATCATGGTGCATCAATCTATATCTATATCAGTTCTGGGGAAAAAAGCTGTTCAAATAAATCTCTTTGTTAAGGAAAATGGCAAGAACAGTGTGAAAGAAAATAAGGCTAGATATTATTATAGTATTCAAAATAAAGTGGAGTGATTTTATGAATGTATTAAGACTAAAGAAAGAGGAGAATATTGTAACAAGGATGAAATCTGGTTACACATATTTTAGAAATTCCTCAAACGAAAAGATATGTTGGATAGAACATAGTTTAGGTGTATTAACTACAATTATTTTAATGATTGAAATAATTAATAAGCATAATACAGGTTGTTGTAATTATTGTGGAAAATTATAAACAGTACAACATTTTTTTTAGAATGTAATAGATATGTTCAAGAAAGAAAGATGTTACTTATAGATTAAAATAGGAATAAAAAATGAATTAGATATGGGGAAATAGGGTCATTCTGATTCAGACTCCTCACCAGTTGGTGGCGGTAATGCACACCGAAAAGTTGGTTTGCCACCGCCATAAAAATAAGAGAAGAACCACCGAAAAGAAGAGAAGAAGAAAGATGGAAGGCGCGAATATGGCGGAAAATGAAAGTATAAACATCAATAACCTCGAACTTCAGAAGATTGTAAACCGATGGATAGTGGATTATTACTTTTCTGTGGCGGTGGAGTTCTTTAAAAACCATCAATATGCGGACTTTTGTGGCGTTAGAACCATATTGGACAGTAAGTACCTTAACTAGCTTAAACTTTGCTAGCCTGTCGTGCTTGCCCGTTGGAAGTTTGAGGTCAGCAAATAATAACAAACTGTTACTTTTTGAGGATGGACGGTCCTTTGGTGTGTGTGTGTTTAAGTGTACTGTAAGTCTCACGCATTTTGATTTTTTTTTTTTTTTTTTTTTTTTTTTTTGGGGGG